CCGCCGGGATAACTCCCTTTGCTGGAGTAGGGAAATTGAGGCACCTGAACTGAGATAAAAATGTAGGGAAGTTCTCAACGTTAGCAGCATCAAATAATTTCCCGCTGTTTGCATATCCTCCAGACAGATGTCATCAATGCTTCTTGGTGGGTCCTGAGCAACAAGACCCGGGATGAACTGGAAAGGAGTTTTGATTGTTGCGGCTTATTCAACCTCACAACCCTGTATCAACAGGACTATGCTTTTTGCACTGCAGTGAGTCAGTGGGGAGAGAGAGGGCTGTGGGTAGCAAAATTGGGTTAGGATAGTGCCCAGATTGGCAGGTTTGAATGTGATTGTCTCTCTCTAGCAGCTGTCTTTGTACTGGGGCTGTGTGCTACTGTGTTAAGAGTAGGGATGGATAGAGGCTAGGCTAGAGAATTAGCCAAGTGGGATTTCAGTCTGTAAGACGTTGATCGAAAGTAGTGAATAATTTCTAAGGCCATTCACCAAAGGTGTCAGGATAGGGCATCTTAGCAACTCTGTGTCCTCTACATACGTTTTATCCTAGATCTGCAAGAGCCGGAGGCCCACGTGCCAAATGTGTGGAGAAAAGTTTCTTAAGCATTCAGATGAAGCCCTGAAAATCCTGGGGGGCGTTGGACTCTTCTTTAGCTTTACAGAGGTAACATTCTCCAGTTCCCTCATATATACCCTTTCTCTACATCTGTAAGTCTTGGCCCCAGAGATTCAGAATTGGTGCTTATCTCTTTTCCTTTGCTTCTACAGATCCTTGGTGTCTGGCTTGCAATGAGATTTCGGAATCAGAAGGATCCTCGAGCCAACCCCAGTGCTTTTCTATGAGACTTTGGATCCTTCTGACTTCTCTTCTGCTCTCCCTAAGCTTTTTCTTCCTCCCTTAGGGAAAACCCAGGGTCAATAGCCTTTTTTGTTTGAGAAAAAGGAAAGGCCCTTTGCGATCCCTTAAAAGTGACTGAATAGCCAGGCTCTCTGCCTTGACATGTTTTAGTAAGAGCAAGATTATAAGAATAAAGAAAAACTTCCTCTCTCCCTGAGTGGAAATGGGAAGCTCCTGGGAGTGTATGAGATGCTATGGGGGTCAGAGTAATTCCTGGCTGTCTCCCCTCTTCTCCCTTCCACATGCTAGACCACAACACATCCTGACCTAGCTTCAAGGGGAAACCAGGGACAGAGCCAGAGAGAAAACCACCAAGAATTCTTATAATAAGCAGGACCCAGTTTGGGAGGAGTTTGGTGAATATAAAAATAAAAGTCATTTAAACACCATATTCAAAGCAGAAAATTAAATGCCTTGTCTTCTCTTACCAGTTGTGGGGCTCCACTATTTAGGCCCTGTAACCTAAGAAGAATCTTTAAGATTCTGCAGGGAAGTCCAAATGGTTTCTCCAGATACCCAAATGGCAAAGCCAATCAAAGGAAGAAACATTAAAAAAAAAAAAAAAGACCATACTTCTTTGTTTTGTTTTTTCCTGTATAAAAAAGGATCCTAATATCAAGATAAGGGGAGAATAAGGGACATACTTGTTGGTGTAAGGAAATAGGAGGGCAGGAGAAAGGTAATCCTCAAAAGGAGGGGAAGGAGGGGAATGTCATTAAGGCAGCCAGCAAGATATTCTCTGTAAGAAGTTGGAGGAAACATCTCCACAGATAAAAAGGGCACAGAGTGCCTTCTCAGTGGAGGGCTCTCCACTCAAGTGTTCAAATGAAGGTAAGTGACCGCTTCTCTTCTCTTGGTTCTGTTGCAGCCACTGCATTGCTCACTCTGGGTTACCTTCTGCCTTTTGTAGATAAGAGTGCTGCAGAGCTCGGAAGGCAGAGATTCGCTTGTGTGGGTTAAAAGTCAGCATTTCCTGAGAGGGGAGGCAAAGGCCAGAAAATCGTGAAAACAAACCCAAAAGGACTTTTGCTCACCCCCAACATGCAGGATGGCCTATTTTCTACATTCCTCTTTGTGGACGGCCAGTCACAGTTGCAAAAACTAGCCCACCCACCGACCATGATGGTTTGGGTCCCTTTTCCATTCTATTTTTCACCCCAATCTCACCCCATTCCCATGCCCAAACCCAGTACCAGCAGCAGCTGTGCTCCAGACTCCTCCATCTCAGGTATCACTGACTGCACTGGGCAGGGCCCTCTGGGAGAAAAGGCTCCTCGGGGTAGAGACACATCTCGGGGCCAGTCATCCTCTGGAGGCAGACCAATCAGGCTATGGGGAACAAGAGAACTCTGGTCAGGGGGTCCTTCTCCAGCCTCCATCTCCAGGAGCAGAGCCAAATGCTACGAGGGCTCAGCAGTAGAAAAAGGCTCAAAATGGAAATTTTTTTCCCCCTTGCCAGTCACTTACTCAAAGATTTTGCCTAATTGGTCAGCTTCGGAGTTTCCGCAGAAGAGAGGCCTAAGGTGAGAAGGGACACAACAGTCATTTTCAAAGATATGGTAGCAGAATGGTTATTGCGTAGTGGCTCAGACAGAGTATGGAAACTAAAGGGATAAGTTCCTAACTCCAGGACATTTCAGAGCTTCTGGTTATGGACAAGGTAGTGAGTAGAACTCAAAAGAAAGAATGGGCAGGGGATGGAGGTGGTTTATAAGAGATTTGGGAAATTCAAAATAGTTCAGGATACTTGGGTCCCATACTTTCGACGAAACATTTCTGCAAAGATACAGCCAACACTCCACAAGTCCACAGGTGTTGCATATGTAGATTGCAGAAGAACTTCCGGAGCACGGTACCAGAGTGTAACAACCTAATGGGAATAAGAAGAGGGCGGGCCCTGTGGGTTACCATAAAGCAAAACTGCTTAACTGATGTCACAAAGCACATGACTTCTCGACTGCTATGGGTAATTACTCTTTTACCCCCAACCAAAACCCAATTCTAGCTACCATCTTTCTACTGACCACAGGTGTAAGTGCCATCTGGTAGCTGTAGATTCTGGCCAGGCCAAAGTCGGCCAGCTTGACTGTCCCACTACTTGTCACCAGAATATTCTCTGGCTTCAGGTCTCGGTGAACAATGCAGTTGGCATGAAGGAAATCCAGGCCTCTTAGAAACTGGCGCATCAGATCCTGGTTTGGAAGGGGGGGTACAAAGGAAATGGAAACTAGGCGCCATACCTGAAATCAAATCACAACAGCTTCTACTGCAAAGATCTCAATGTATCTCTCATTGTCTGCCCACCCCACTCACCTTGATGGTCTCCACTGGCAAGCCTGGTGGGGGTGCCTTGTCCAGATATGTCCTTAGGTCTTGGTCCACATGCTCAAACACCAGGGTCACTTTGGTCTCCCGATCAGTTCGGGCTGTGGCACAGACATCCACCAGTCTGGCCAAAACAATGATGGGTCACTCACTGATCAATCCCTTTTGTCCCCAACATGGCCTTCCCCATTTCCTCAGGGTCCTCACTTATTTCCTGACCACCACTCCCAACATATAGGTGTCTTTTCCCATTCACTACCCACTCCCAACCCTCCACCTTCTCACCGGACAACATTGGGATGCTCAAAAGCTTCCAGCCGCCTCAGTAAGGCCACCTCACGAACTGTGCTGATAGGAAGTCCCCCTCCGGCACCACTTCCATTGGGGACTCTCACGCTCTTGAGGGCCACGAAATGGCCACTGTGGGGATCACGGGCCTTGTACACCGTCCCATAGGCACCAACACCAATCTCAGCCACTGGCTCATATCGAGGGGTAGCCATTCTCAGATCAGAGGAGACCCTACAATCACAGAGACTCCTACCACCGAAATTCCCTTCCAGAGTTCGGATGGTATGAGCCTACAGCAACAAAGTAACTCCCGAAAAAAACATAACAAAGACACCACCACCAGCATCCCTTCCCTTCCCTTCCTTCCCCGGTCTTCCCTGAGGCCGGCCCCGCAGGTAACACAATGACTCCAGCCACAGCCCCTGCGGCCACGTGAGGCCCTAGAATAATCAATCTCTCTCCCTTTGGGACCTTTTCGCCCTGCACAAGGAAGATCCCACAAGACACACCCCCTGCACCGAAGACCCTACACCCCACCCCCTAAAACTATACCTCCCTACAGCCACAAAGGACCAGATTACACCCTGCCCCACTTCCCGCCCTCGAGCAACCCTGCGGTGACCAGCCCGCGCGAGGAGCCCCGGCGGGCGAGCAGAGCCTGCGTTCCCGGGAAGGGGCGGCACTTACTTCACCCCTTGCGGGAGCTGCGGGGCAGGCCCGTTATCGGGGCCCGGGAGCCGGTTCCCCAGGCGCCATACACTCGAGCTCTGTCCGGAGCAGCTGGACGGCACGGGCCCGACCACAGACACAGGCCGCAAGCTGGAGTGGACCCCTTACCCCCACCCTCACCATGTGACCAGCTGCCAGAGAGGCGCGCGGAAACCCGGGGGGAGGGGC